GAACATCAACTGGATCTTCATGAATTGGAACTGATACTGGTACAGAAGTTGGCTTGATCACTCTTTTCCTTGGCTTCATCTAAAACCAAAAAAATAAATAAATAAATAAAAAATTTAAGTTAGTTTATGGAATTGACTTGAGTAAAATTTCAATGTATATAGAAATACCTGTTTATGAATTAGCTTTGTCTTTTCTGGACAACTCCTGCAATTATGACCACTCTTCCTACATATGCTACAATGCAACTGAATGTGACTCCTAGCAACGGATAACCCATCCTTGGTGAGCTGATTCTTAGCAACTGATACCCCATCCTTGGTGACCTGATTCTTAGCAACTGATTGACCATTCTTGGTGAGCTCATCAGCTGATCTTTTCCTCAATTTCTGTGGTCTACCTGGTCTAGCAGTGTATAGTGGAGGAAGGGGAGGTTTTCTGTCAGTTAATGGCTAATGTGTAGCCCCTGCCATTGGATGTATGGATCCCTCATATATTTTCAGGTAAGTGTCACTCAGTTAAATCCCATTTTCTGCAAGAACATCTTTTTCTTTGCAAATCAACCTCTTGCTGGTCCCCATACATTCCTTGGATTTCAAACAGATGATAATCACTCTGAGTTGCCCTGTAACTTGCAGCTTGTTTTTCTATCACAGCTAACTTGTCCAAGATCCTAGGGCAGATACTCTGAGTCCATTTTTTTGCAGTCTCTCTCTTCTCATATATTTTCTTCATTAACAATTTCCTGATGCTTTCTAGGCAGCCAATAATGGGTTGTTGTCTTGCTTCAGATATCACACTATTAAAACATTCACATATGTTATTGACCAACATATCACTCTGTGATGCACATGAGAAATGTGATCTTGACCATTCTTTAGGATGTTTATCTGCTAACCACTCAAATGCATTCCCATCTAACTCCTTCAAACGTCTAAACCCTCTATTGAAATCAGTGACAGTGTATGCTCTTGCACAAGACGATAATGCATCCTTAAGTGATTTACCTTGGAACCCTGCAACCTTCATATTACCATGAAGGTGTCTTACACAGAACCTGTGCTCCACTTTAGGTAAAATAGCCTTGCAAGCTTGAATTAAACCTTTCTGTTTATCTGAAATTAATGTGAATTCATCCTCATTCCAAGCAGTAATATCCAAGTCTGTTTTCATAAAGTCTAGAAACCATGTCTAGGATTGTATAGTTTCTTTCTCAACTATAGCATAACACAATGGAAAAATCCTATCATTAGAGTCAATTCCTATAGCAGTGAGCAACACACCTCCAGTAATTGTCCTTAAGTGAGTCCCATCAATTCCAATTATTTTCCTGCAATATTTGAAGTCTTTTTTGCATGCATCCCAACACATGTAGAACCTAAGAAATCGTGTATCCCCATTCATTTCTTTCAAGTCACTCAAATGAACAAAACAACGTGACATTGGATTTGTTCTTTTAATTTCCAGCTCATAACTCTAAAGTTTATTAAAGTTCTCTTCTTCATTTCCTTTCAGAATAGTTTTAGCCTTAGCAAGCACTCTATAGGTCTACCTCTCACTCATATTGAACTTGTCATCATCATGAACTTTTTCTTTAAACTTTAACATCTTCCAATCAGGATTATAACTGATTTCCTTGCTCCACATCTTGGCTATTTTAGTTGAATTCATCATTCTATTATCGAAAGCCCATGAACATCCATCATGCTTTTGCTCCATCGTTAAAATCCTCCATGACAAAGAGTTTATAACTTTTCTAAGACTTATTCTGAAAGGACACCCCTCTTGTTTACATTCTACAATGAATCTATATTTGTCATTCTTCACAAACTTCAAATCTTTTCCATTTTTAATGGCATAGTTATGAACAGCTTCTTTAAACTCTTGCTTAGAGGCAAATGTCATTCCTAGAGTGAGTTCAGGATCATTCATATCTGTACTTGCCCTAAAGTTAGTCCATAATCCACCACTTATCTCACAATCACTATCTGATTCCATAATTGAAGCATCATCAGAAAGGTTAGTGTCAAATATATCACTTTGCAAAGCCTTACTGCCCACCTCGTTTTCTAAGTTATTTATTAAACCACTATCTTCAACTCCATAATCTATATGTTCATCAAACTCTATGTCATCCTTATTTTGAACATTGTCATCATCACCACTTAGTTCATTATACTCACTGCGCTCAGTGTCACTGTCATATTCAACATTTTCACCTTCAAAGACAAATATTTACAATAAAAAATCAAATCAAATTGTAACACAAATTCAGAGCAGTGATATCACAAATGCAAAAAACAAAAATGGTCCCCACAGAATATGCATAAAGTGTATACAGAAATGGTATTCACATTTACAGATGAAATAAACAAATGAAAAAGTAAAAATGGTCCCCAAATGGTCGAACTGGGTCCCAACTAAACCCTAATTTATACAGATATGGGTCCAAGCTAAACCCTAAAATATATACAGTCATGGGTCCCAATGAAAGCCTAATATATACTAAAGTATTCAACTTTATCAATATGCTCCCCTAACTGCATAAAAGCATCCTCAACATTCCAAAAAAGCAAATAATTTAACTTTTTGCCAGTGTACTTACCATGTGATGCCCAATCCGATGAAGAACAGCTTCGCTGATGAGAAGCCATATGCGGCATCAACGAACGATTTTACAGCTTGTGTTTTTGTGTTTCGCGCTGAATCCGAGAGAGACACTATAGTAGTCAATTACGCAAGGGTTTTTGTTCTTCCTTCTTCGCAGCTCCTTCGATTCGAACAGAGAGAGACGAGATTGAGGTGTCAATACGGAATAAATCTTATATTTAATCATTTTACATTTTACATGAGTTAGAAATGACTAGAATACCCTTAACATAATAAGGGTTGAGTCTAATTCCGGTGGGTTGGCCGGGTTCTTGGTCGGATGGGACCAAATGTGGAAAAAATATTGAAGTTGAGCACCTGTTATGTCCGGAATAAAAGTCGTTAATCCCATTTGTCACCACAAGTGAAGTCGAGGGACCAAAAGTGGAAAAAACTCGAGGCAACAATTCATCACTTTAAAAACTAATTTGGGCAAGGTAGAAATGGAGAACAACCACTTACTTGAAGAGAGTTTCACTTAATTTTTCTCTTAGCCATTTAAGAATTCAAAGGCTCCTCTTTAGCTTGAAGGAATTTCTTGGCTCTTGAAAGAATAAAGAATATTTTTTTTTATATAAATGATATATGTATACATACGGCAATTTTTTTTCCTTAAATAATTTTATTATATTACTGTACATATATATACGATTACATATCTATATAAATTAGATTTTTATTATCACTTTATTTATACATTACATTAAAGTACGTGTATATATATATATATATATATATATATATATATATATATATATATATATTATTTTTTTTCATTGCAAAAATAAACTATAATAAGATTATTATTATACGTATTATACTTTTTTTTTATAGAATCATACGGTGTAACATAAAAATAAAATAATAACTTTTTCTGTAGAAAACATTTACGGTAATATGTTTAGATATAATTCATACCACAAAATCAACCAACCAAAATCTCATACTAGTACATTTTCGACTAATACATAACATACATAACATAAAAATAAAATAATAACTTTTCCAGTAGAAAACATTTACGGTAATATATTTAGATATAATTCATACCACAAAATCAACCAACCAAAATCTCATACTAGTACATTTTCGACTAATACATCATACCAACATCACGCCAATATCATACCAACATTTCCAAATCACACTTGATCATTTCATAAAATAATTCATTTCATTCATAACTTTCAACCAATCAAAAATCCATTTTTTAAAACAAAGATGGGCAAAGTAAAATGAAGAAAACCCACTTACTTGTTAACTTCTTTACTAAATCTCTCTCTAGACCAATTATGCACCCAAAGGCTCCTCTTCTACCATCCAAGAACACCAGAAAATAGCTTTGAAGACTTCTTGACTCTTGAAGAGAATAAAGATTTATTTTTTTAAAAAAAAATTGGGAATGCCGAAATGAAGAAGAAGAGGAGAGAGAATTTTTTTTTTCTTTCTTTGAGAGAATCGGCTATTTGAGGAAAAGATGAGGGATAAGGATTATATCATTATCTTCAATTCTATCTTTAGTAAATCAATACTTAATGGGAGAATAATCTAGATTGTAACTCCAATTTATAAATTGTAACTCCTAATCAAAATAATTATAATTATACAAATTATATTATATATAAAATAATTTAGACTATACACTATACTCTATATTAGATAATTAGATAATTGTTATCCTTAATATATATATATATATATATATATATATATATATATACACTACACGCCACATACACATATACTTCAAATATTCCATATACATTTTACTTACATACAAAAATAATATATGTAAATACGTTACACATATAATACATAATACATAAGTGTATAAAATGCACATATATAATTATATAACCCAAAATAATATAACACACTTGTTCCAAAATAATTAGTTTGTAGTTCAAAAATAATATATACATACTTATGTACCAAATAACAATTATACACTTATTATTATTATTTTTTTATAACGACAATAATAGTAGAGATGAGATTTTCAAATGGCTCAATCAAAATGGCTTGGTCAGAAAGAAGTAATAATTGAGAAAAGGAAGAATTTCGAATTTTAGAGAGGCTAGAAAATCCGGGTGTCACACAGCTGGTTTTCCCTTAACAATTGCAGGGTGATAGACAAATGTTCCAGATGTGCATCTAACCCTTGACTATAAACCAGAATGTCATCAAAGAATACAAGAATAAATTTCCTCAAGTGGGGCAGAAATACCTCATTCATTAGAGCTTGGAATGAGGTTGGGGCATTGGTGAGCCCAAATGGCATTACCCTGAATTCATACAAGCCTTGGTGTGTCTTGAATGCAGTCTTGAATTCTTCCCCTTTTCTCATTCTGATCTAATGATAACCAGCCCTCAAATCTATCTTTGAGAAGTGTGTAGAGCCTGATAGTTCAGAGAATAAGTCCTCTACAAGTGGGATAGGGTACTTATTCTTGATAGTGATCATGTTTAGGGCTCTATAGTCTACACAAAACCTCCATGTTCCATCCTTTTTTGGCACTAGAAGCACTGGTGATGCAAAGGGGGATGTACTAGGACACACAATTCCAGCCTGTAGCATCTCAGAAACCATCTTCTCAATAATGTTCTTTTGATCATGTGTGTACCTATAAGCTTTCAAATTGACAGGATTTGCATTGGCCACCAATGGAATAGCATGGTCATGCAGTCTAGCAGGGGGTAAGCCTTGTGGTTCCTCAAATACATCAGAGTATCGTGACAGTACTTCTTTCACCCTGGCATCCATGGTTTCAGCAGGTGATATGGAGGCTTCTATTGCATTGCAAGATGCTGCAGGAATTTGATTAGAGCCACAACAGTAGATTAAAAATCCTAGTGCTCCCCTTTTTGCCCAGTTGGCTTTTTCCTTGGGGGTTGCTTCTTTAAGACTTACTCTTCTAGAAATACCTTGCAGTGTAATTTCCTTCCCTCCTTTGATAAAGGATATTCCCAGTGGCCTTGTATGTAATTGGATAGGAGAGAATTGATCTAACCAATCTATGCCCAATACCATATCACATCCTCCCATTCTCAATAGTCTAAAGTCCCTCTGAAACTCCTCCCCTTGCATTGTCCAAGAGAGTTCACTACAAGCTTCTTCACACATTATAGTCTGCCCATTGGCCACTGTAACATACAAGGGATTGGTCTTGTAGGTTACTGTTTTGAGGCTTTGGATTACCACTGGATCTAGGAAGCTATGGGTGCTGCCTGTATCCACAAGGATGATTAGCTTCTTCTTGCCTACTTTTCCCAGTAATTTGATAGTGCTCAGGCCTTCTCCTCCCAGCATGGCCAAGAGAGAAACCTCAGCAAGTCTCTCACCATCTTCTCTATTAAGCTCAGGGCTAGAGGGTTCTTCTTCATTCCCTTCTTGTTCCACTTGCCCTTCCTCAATGTCTGTCATCACATTGAATGTTTTAGGCCTACATTTGTGCCCATGTTGCCACTTTTCCCTGCAGTAAAAACACAACTTTTGCTCTTTAAGTTTCTCCAATTCAGCCTGACTCAACTGTACCCCAGGCTTGCTTCTATTCACACTAACTGCTGATCCCACAGAAGGTGTTCTAAAGCTGCTATTTGTTCTCTGGCTTTGTTCATTCCCAACCCACTCATTTCCTTTTAGGCCCTCTTCAAATTGTCTAGCATACACATATGCATCCATCAAGGTTAAGGGATTGGCAGTCTTGACAAAGCACCTTATGTGGTTCTTCAACCCACTAACATATTTTCTGATGAAATATACTTCTGTCAATGAGGGGTGTGCAATTAGCATCTGTATTTTCAGTTCATCATATTTACTGTTATATTCTTCTACCAATCCAGTCTGTCTTAGCCTTTTGAATTCTTCTTCCACACACTCTAAGCCCAAGGAGCTAAATCTTCTGCACACATCCTCTGCAAATTCTTCCCAGAAGACTCTCCCACCATGATCAATCATATACCCATCGAACCAGGCATCTATCCCCCCTTAATATAGAATGACACGTATTCCATTTTCATATCATCAGGAATTCGGTATAACAGAAAGAATTTATTGCACCTCCTAATCCATCCCCTAGGGTTTGCCCCATCAAATTCAGGAAACTCTATCCTAGGTCTGGGAGCACGCAATTGGTCATCATTATAGCGTAACCCATGTCTGGGCTGTTCTTGGTTCCCTAAGTGCATTCCAGCAAAATTATCGACAGGATTAGGGATATGATTAGGGTTGGGGATTGATCAATTACCTCCTAGGTGGTTAACAGAAGTACTAGCCCCGTCGGAACGAAGGGACTGTGCTCCGGCCGAAAATTGAGCTGCGATTGCCGGTTGTGGGTTCGTTGTCCCCTGCGCCATGGCCATCATCCATTGCCTCACCTCCATCTGGAATGTCTGGAATCCGGTTTGGAAGGCCCCTAGGGCCTCAGCACTAGCCCTCTGGTTATCATTCAGCTGCGCCTGAACTGCCTGCATCTGTTCCTGTATCTCGGCGATCTGCCGGGCAGCTTCGTCGTAATCTCTACGCGTGTTTGTCATGGAGTTGGAAGCTCTGATACCAGGTGTTATGGTTGCTCGGAAAAGAAAAGGAAAATTAAGAAGAAAGTGATGTGTATTTTCATTAACCCCTCTCAACTGAAGAAGACAGTTTAAGTAGTTACAAGGCTACAACTAACAAGGGCAAAAAGGACAATTCATGTTATAACTGCCTAACTACTAACTGCCGATATCAAACGTTGCGTTTTGACTTGAGGTTTGTTACAGAGTGACGGTGGGTGCGACAGGATAAAGACGGCGACGGGGTTTGTGAAAAGCATATTATTTTTTTTTTTTTGTTTTTTTTTTGTTTTTTTTTTTGGAAACTAAAGACGTCGGGGGTTGGATTAGCCGTGTGTATGTTAGGTCGTGCTAGGGGCGGTGAGACTAGCCGGGTGGAGTAGTGGCGGTGTTTGCGAGAGGGTAGAGATAGAGATGTGTTTTTTTAAAAAATAGGTTAATAAGAATGTGTACACGACTAGGCAGTGCACATTTAAGTAGAGAAGACTAGTTGTACGTTGTTTGTGCAGTGAAAGTAAAAGGAGGGAAACCAAGACTAAAGTAAACAATGTACAGAAGGATGGGATGGTGGTTTGTTTAGGGAAAAGTAGAATAAGTTACGTGAATGGATGGATGCACAAAGGGGGAGGGGGGGGGGTGGGGCGGGGGGGGGGGGGGGGGAAAGTATATTGTTGGTACTATAAACTATCATATTTCCCAATTAACTTGCTAGACGTTTGGAGCCTAACTTGTCTTTAACAGTCTCTCTATGCTAGGATGGAGAGAACCCTGAAGAAAACTGAAGTCAGTGACCAGGGTCATTATAAAAAATTCTTGCTTTTACAATAGATGAAAAGGTATCATGTCCTATGATATACTATTTGCTACTGCTATTAATGATTATGAGACTGGAATACATTGACATGTTAGCACAACTATCTAAACCTTTCAGGGTACATTTGTAAGAGAAGTACTTCTTGATGAACTAGTTAAGGTATGTATTTCTTTGGATGTTACAATGCAAATGAGAGGCTTGAATAGCCCTGTTCACGGATTACTTTAACTTGAATAAAATCATCATTCAAAATGTACGTGTATAGTGCATGTTAGTACTTTAAATTTGTGCATTTTATAATTTAATATAATGAATATGCGGAATGCTTAATGTGCGTCTGATTCGTTAAGAAGGGTGCATGTATGTAGTAATTTGATTGCGTCATAGGTGGTGGTATTTGTGCATTTGAATGTATTTGGTTACAGTTGTGCAGTCATATGATCCATTACTCTGAAAAGCCATTTGTTTGGGTGATGATTTAATGAATACACTAGTAATTCACTCGCGCGATGCACGGAAAAAAATTATGTTATTATAAATATAAATAAAAATAGAAAAACTAAAATATTTTAAATTATTTAATATAAAAATATTTTTGAGCTTCCATTGGTTAAGTATTTATTATTTTTATAGAATACAAAATTACAATTACAATTAAAATTAAAATTAATATTAAAATTATAATTTTGTATGGTTAATATAATCTCTAATTATGTGCATATTCAAATAAACTTATAGAGAGAATTTACATAATTACATTGATTTATTCTTAATTATATTTCATCTATATTATAATTTTCACAATACGAATAATAACTAAGATAATTACATTTGGAAAGCAAATTTCAAATTTTGTATGTGTAAATTTAAACTCTAATTGAACACATTTTTTATATGATTATATAATATATAGCTATTTTATTTTTTAAATGTTGTTCTTTTTTTAAAAAAAAAAATAAAAGATGTTGTGACATTAATTGTAACATTAATTATTTCTCAAACCATATAGCTTTATTATATAAAGGATGTTAGGGAGTAAGCATCATGCATATAACGTAGAGTGCTTACATAATTTTATATGTGTGATGAAGGTCTGTGGAAAATAAGATGACAAATGAAGTTGGTGTATTTGGGATGATGTCTAAGCATTAATTAGTGAATGGCCAATAGCAGTTAGGGAAATGGTTGAGTACATAAAACTGATATGGTAGAATGGTAGATTTGATTTGTGTGCATCTATGATTGTAACCATCGTGCAATAATGCTTTGTTTAATTGAAGTTGACACCAATTTTCAGGGAAGAAGCAAAAAAAAACCACAGATTCGACATCGAATACCATAGAACCCAACCCCGACGATGATTTTGTTAGTTCGCCGATGCAAGCAACACGACAAGAAAGGCAACAAACAAACGACGCTTCCGAATACGAATTGCTACCTGAAGAGGGGAAAAGATTTCCCACGTTTATGACCTGTGCAGTGGCAAGGAATTTAGTGAATGTAATAATTTAAAAATTTTTTTTACTACAGTTAATGTTTGCAAGTGTCACGAACTACGTACACTACCATGCGACTAATTAATTTTTGAGGTCTTTAAATTTTTGAGGTCTTCAAAAGAAAATTAATTTCAATTTCAGTTTGAATATTGAATGAGTTTATTTATTTGTAAGTGCAAGTACTGTGAAAATACGGGAGGTTTGTTCCCGAATGCAAGTGTTAGCGGTTGTTCCCTGCACCCACACCAACCACAAAAAAACATGGGTAAACAAAACACCAAAAAAAATGAATACATACATACATAATAGACGAAAGGAAAAACACAAAGTTAGTTGAATGCACAACTACTATAAGACGAAATGCACATTGCTTAGCAACGGGGAATTAAAAAAAAAAAAAAACAGCCGCAGAATGGGTTCAACACTGGAAATTATGGGTTCAACACTGGAAATTTTAATTTAAATGCACAAACCCATTATTAAATATTGCAAATGACTGAAAAGATTACAAACAAAACACACATACAACACCGCCCATAAAAAAATAAAAATAAAAAAATAAAATAAAAAAGGCCCGGTCTACAAAGACACCTAGAACAAACATACACCTTAACAATATGCAACATACACAACCCAACAAAGATAAGAGATATAACAGATGAAATAAATTTGGAAGAGACACAGAATAACACACACGCTACACACAACGAATCGAATTTCAAAAAAAAAACAAAAAACAAAATTAACACACTTAGAATCCCTATTTTTAAAACATTTTTTCGGGTACAAAAAACAGGTGCATGCGCCGACTAGAAGCAATCTACTCAGCTTCGGTGCACAAACACATTAATTGAGAATGCACATTGCTACAAACACACTTAAAACCCATGACAATGAATAGATAGAAAAATCAAAGACAAAGCCCGTTTATAAGAACACAATGCCGTACAAAACAAAAGCACCCAGAACCAACTAAACATTGAACAACCCACAACCACAAAGCTTATTGTTAACAAAAACACATAATAAATGCACAACTACAGCCAAGACCGATGCACAATACAGACCTATTTAATAAAAACGTACAGAACATACATGGAGAAACCATGACAACACACGCTCACAAAAAGAATTCAACAACACGAGGAGGCAAGTATCCACGTCCAAACACAAAGAAAAGTACTGAACACAATAAAAATGGCAAAAACATAAAAAAGATGAATAAAGAATCAGTATGATGGATATATTATACCCACGACTCGACCCGGGGTAGCAACATGGACCCGGAGCACCTTGGTGGAGCCCAAGAGCAGCACGAACCCGGGGGACCACGGAGGTGTCAAGAGCAACACGGACCCGGGCGACCACGGAGGTGCCTAAGAGCAACACGGACCCGGGGGACCACGGAGGTGCCTAAGAGCAACACGGACCCGGGGGACCACGGAGGTGCCCAAGAGCAACATGGACCCGAGGGACCACGGAGGTGCCTAAGAGCAACACGGACTCGGGGGACCACGGAGGTACCCAAGAGCAACACGGACCCGGGGGACCACGGAGGTGCCCAAGAGCAACACGGACCCGGGGGACCACGGAGGTGCCCAAGAGCAACGCGGACCCGGAGCACCATGGAGGTGCCCCGACCCGAGCCGACCTACGTGGAGCTCGGTCCTACCCGAGCTCGGCACCACCCGAGCTCGGGACCCGACCCGACCCGGTCCGCCGGGGCCCGGTCAAACATGAGATCTAACCACCCCCGATTTAAGGGGAGGCGGTTGGGGGTTTGCTTGTATAAAAACCCCCCTCCATGTCCTAACAAAGGGCAATTCATTCCACATTATACGATTATTACACACTTTTGTCCTACCGAATCTTTGTAATAGCCAAATACTACGGCAATTAATATAATATACGGTCCACCGCGACCTTTACGATATCGTTCTATATTATTTGTTTATTATTCTTATTATACGTTCTTATCCGGATTTAGTGATTCGGGTAAACCCCGAGTTAATTAAATCCATCACAGTAATGGCATCAAGAATCCTTAATTACCATAATTAATGTAGCTATAAACATGCACATTACGCCAAAAAAGAATAAACAAAGAAAGGAAAAAAATAAACAAAGACAAAAAGACCCCCAACCCATACTGACGGTAAAAATGGAAAAATTCAAGAAAGAATTATACCAAAAAACTATATCCATAGATCAAGCAAAAATCAAAGGATAATATTCATCCACACTCCTCATGTGGAAAAATGTCCTCATTTGATCCTTAGTCTATATATATATATATATATATATTGTGTATCGATTTATTTACCATAACCAACAGAACCACCTCCATGTAATGAAGAACATACCATTGGTGCAAATAGGGAGGAGGCAAAAGGAGAAATGAGTGAAAACTATGACTCCGCAGACCCACATAGTTATGAATCAAATAAGGATAGAGAGCATTTAAGCAGACTTAAGGGTAAAGACAATGCGAAATATCCATCTTATAATCCATTGTCAGAATCATCAACACTAGAAAAGGGATGCTATGTGAGGATGGTACTCAAATCAAGAACCATATAATCAGGTATGCAGTGTATTCAAAAAGGGATATATGGTTTCCAACAAATGAGCCAAAAAGAGTGAAGTGTGCTAAAAATTGTCCATTTAGATGCTTTACTAGTTGTTTGAAGAAAGGTATACATGTTTTCAATTGAAAACATTGCATGACATACATAGATGCAATCAAAGGTTTCAACTGAAATTGGTGCGTCAAAAATGGCTAGAAGAAAAGTATGAAGACAAGGTAAGAGACAACTCTTGCATTGGACATGTTGAATTAAAGAAGCATATAGAAGTAGAATTGAAGGTTAATGTGAAAAATGTACATGTTGCATTGGACATGTTGCATTGCATGTTGTATTATTTTTATAGAAGCATATAAAAATAATGTACATTTAATATATTAAAAATGTATTTTTTAATATGGTCCACATAACACTGTGTGGACCCTGGTGCACACAATAATTTGCCTTGAATATTAGTATGGTAAAGAATATCAATGTTTGAAGACCAATTTTAAAGACTTAGCCCTGTTTGGTAACAAAGTTAGCTTATCAGTTAATTTTGGCTTATTTGACCATTATTAACTCTTTGACTTGTTAAACAATCAATATGAGTGTTTGATTAATTATCTTTATGTAACAATTTATTGCTCCAAAATGTTAAAAATTTTAAAACTGTTCAAATGAGCTTTTTCGATCAACTTTTTAAGAGTCATTTTGCATGTAATTAGCTATCGACTAATTTACCAAACAGTTTTCTACAATCAATTAATGATATCGACTATTCAAGCCCACTAACCCAATCAACTAACAACTATTTACCAAACACTGTCTTAGAGATTTTTTTTTTTTTGAAACACTGTCTTAGAGATTATGCACAAGAATGTATCAATTCTAACAAGGCAGCGGCAATTTATATTGTGCACCACAGTACAAATAGCAATGTGAGCCCAAGCACAAAACGACGTCGTTTCAATTGCTGTTGACGGGGATTGACGTAACGAACGCCACTCTGTCCATTCAAACGGACCAAAACCCCATTATGTGTATTCAGTTAAAAGTTTCTGTGTATTGTGTTATGAGTTTATGTGTATTCAGTTAAG